ATTAAGACTCCCAAGTTAAGAATAGATTTTAAATGTGACACCAAATACTTAAATGATCTTCTGTGTTATTCTGGACTTTTATCTGTTGTCAAAAAAACTCATGTTTGGAAGTTTCAGCTGGTCTGTGGGGTCACACAGTGCAGCAGGAGTGTTTTGGAGTATTAAATGGATTTTGTCTGCTTGTTCCCTTTTATTATTAGTAATAAATATTAATAATCAATATAAACATGTCAGAGAATCTCAGGATTTTTAATATGCAGGAAAACTGCTTGCAGCAGGATGCAGGCTGCATATGTAGGATACATGAAGTCGGGCACTGTGAGAACGTCATTCAGAGGAACTCGATTTTAATGCTCAGTTCCAGTTGTGTGTTGTTCCCCTCTGTGATGAGAGCGTTTGTTTTAAAAAGTCCAGATTAGGGTTAAAAAGTTCTTTCAGCAAAAGAATAAACAAACTGCAGTTAATACTTTAATCTGCGCCTCTCTTTGATCGCCAAACTGAAAACTTTGATGTATTTTTTATGTTGTGTTGTTTGAACTCAGGATGTCAATAAAACGTTGCCAAAGTCGGTGAAAAGACGTCTCAGTTTATTTATGTACAGATGTTCAGGTGAAGCGATGGAGTACACAGGCTTCAGGGTTCTGACAAACTTCAGACTGAAAAAAAGGAATCAAAGGGAAACAAAAACATGCTCAGAGGCTGTAGGTTATCTACACCTCCACAATCCCGACACGTAACCTGTCCACAAACGTTTGCTTTCAGTATGAAAAGTTTCTCCTTTTTAAAATTCCTCCTAAATAAATAATCCGCTGCAGAAGAACAGAAAACACACCTTACCCTAAAAATCACAAACTGGTTTAGTAGTACAAACAAAACGAAACAGTGCATCATCACAACAACACGAATCCGTCGTCGGCGTCTACTCGATCAAAACAAACTCGCCGTCTCTAACCTGCTGTAACTAAAGTTTAATCACACAAAGTAAAGTCAAATAAAACTGAAACTTTCAGCTGCCGTCGATCTCGAAGGCCGATTGTTTAAAGACAAACTTCTGGATTTAAAACCTCTCTGATCCGATGTTTTTGTGACTGAATTAAAGAAATCAGAGGAACAGATGTTATTGAGCACAGGACGAAACGCCCCCACAATTTATTAGCAGATTGGTCACATTAGAAAAAGCAACACGTTTACAGAGAAAAGGATGAGAAAACAGCCGACACAGAAACATTCATGCCCCTCCAACAGATGTGTGCAGATGTTCGTCAGCTCCTCTGTATCTCATGCGTTCTGAAGGTGCTTCTGTGTGCAGACCCACTTTTTCAACGCCTGCGTCAAAACTATGAAGAACGTCACGACGTCATTCGCACAGAAACACACACACAAACATTTCCCCTCTTTATCCACTTGGAAAAAAAAGAAAGAAACACAAACAAAAACGACTTCGCTCATGCCAGTTTCATTGTTCCCACAATGAGGGAATAAATTAGCTCCATAAAATGCTTCTTTATAAAAGAAATGTATTGAGTACTGTACACCTCGTCTATACAGCATAAAGACAGGGAGCACGGTGAGAAGGGAAAATTATCTCCAGAAATTAGACACATTCTGGCTCTAGCACCCTTATCCCTCCAACGCACGCCTCAATCTTCTTTATGTGCAGGAGATGGAGCGTCCCTCACTCCACCCGCCGAGGCCGGTTCTTCAGGGAGGAGAGCAGGAACCTCCTTCATGTCGGAGCTGAGCGCCGGGAACGCTCCATCTCTGCCGGGCT